AAATAATCTTATGCATCTCGTGGCGTATATTCCAAGCATTCTGAAGCTATACTGAGGGTTTAGTGAGAAACAAACCGAAATGGCAAGTTATTATATTTTATGAAAATCTTGCGTGGCAGCTCACGCTGCGCACAAGTGCATATCCTTTTGAGATATCAATTATAATCAATTTTAATAAAACAAGATTACATTATATAACTCTAACAGTATTAATTTAATATTGGTTGTTCTCTGGTTGTCAGTCAAAATGATAGTTCTTGCAACATAGGCCTATATATACCCAAGCCAATTTATTATTCTTTCCTTTCTTTCTTAGTGTTTAAAATATTTATTTTGAAACGAATTAATTAATTTCTTAATTAAACAAACAGACTTACTGGGTGAGCAGGGTAGGCTATGACAGCTGTCATATCATACCCTGCCATGCCCAGCTGATGCAAAGAATAGAATTTATATCTGCACAGAAGAAAGCCCTGTCTAGACTCTTCCCCAGTATGAGTTGTGTCGAGCTATTCATTAGCCTGTTTGTTTGATGAAAAAAGATTAAAAGTAGTTAAGGATGTAGTATGGATTCTTAACGCAATAAATGCGTTAAGAATCCATACAGCTGCAGAGTGGAGGACTATTATTCTGCTGCATGATACTGCAGAAGAACTGATGAAGGCACGGTTTGATATTCGGCTGACCAATCAGCAGAAAGGGGCGTTTAATTCCCGCCCATGTGTAGAAATCATTTCAGTTTATTCATTTTTCCACCCATGAACGAAAAACGAAAATTTAAGCTGAATTCTCGTTTTTCGTTTTTAGGAAAAAAACGAAAAAGGAGCCGTTTTCTCATTTTTCTACTTTCAATATTAAATCAAAAAAACGAATGAACGAATGATACACGGATTCAATTGGTGCACTTCACTCATCTCAATTTTGGTTTTGGTCAGTAACATAAGCTTTCAGGCTTCAACGTTTAAAAAAACAAGGCATCAACAGTCTACCCTGTGCAAAACCGAGTCCACTGAGAAGAGATGTCGCCGAGGACGTAAAACCAATTAATTCCATATGCTACCACGTAGCCTACCTGCGGCGTAAACAGCGTGGGTGTATATTATAATGCAAGTGTATCTAAAACCTCTAATATGCTTGTTATCTTTTCCGGGAAGTCTTGTATTCTATGCAGATAAAGCTACAGGCCTTTCACAAAAACGTTAGAAAGACCACATTTAATCAAAATTCAGCCTATACAGCATATTTAATTATATTTCTTAAACTTCGCTCGTGATTGTCCCCCTTATTAAAGTTGGCAAAGCACTTTCTGACTTACGTTTTTAAGCTAAAAGCTTACCATGGCATATATCTTTAATATACTTGCTAGATAGAAAGATATACAGTCCCTTGTCTTCTTAAATCACCAGCCATTTACTTTCAGAATGTAAAAACATTTCTTCTAACGTTGTCTCAAAGGCGCATCTTTCGGTGTTCTACTGCCCTCTTCAGGCATTATGATGCCATTGCTTCTCAAAGACCGCTACATCATATAAATGAAGAAATATTAGAGATGCGATGTTATTCATGACTCTTTACTCCAGGTTTGATGTGTGATGAGAGAGACTTAACGTCGCACAAAACATCTCTAAGAAACCAAAATACCATTACAAACATCATGCAATCCATTATGTCAGATCAGTAACAAAACACCATAAAGACTAAATCAAATGTGTCAAGTCTAACAAAGCCTGACTCTTTATTTAGACCAATTTGTTTCGATCTTTTCGGCTCATTGTGCATGTACAGAATAGCCGTGTTTGATGGCAGCTCCCTTCCAACAGTCTCAGTGGGTGATGTTTGGTGTTGCCCTGGCCGATCCCCTCAGCTTCTCCACCTGGCAGCCCAAAAGATGCTGCCAATTTCATACTGTGGCCTATTCCTGGCATTATGAAAGAAAATCTAGCCATTTCTTTCTGAAAGATAGGTCAGCAAGCTGTGAAAATATATTTTGTGTACTTGCATACACAAAATTGGACCTTACCAATTAGTCTGCTGTAGGCATGTGACAGTGTAAAATGTTCATGTTGTGATAATTGCTGAAGCTTTTATGACGGTACACGGTATTATCACGATATTGAAATAAGTTGCAAAAAAGTTGTCAATATAATCAGGTTTAATAACTTTTTTCTTATAAGAAAAAAAGAACTGAACATTTAAAAACAATAACGCAATACACAAAAGTGTATAAAGTAAACAAATGTTTCAAAGAGATAAAAGTGCAAAAGAATTAAAGAATAATAGGTAACACTTTACAATAAGGTCTCATTAGTTAACCTTAGTTAATGCACTAGCATTAACAATGAGCAATAGCTACATTTGTGAAGTTATTACTCTTTGTTAAAAAAAATACAACTGTTAGTTAATGTTAGCTGGGTTCCATTAAATAATACAGTTACAACTTTAGATTTTAATGATGTGTTATTAAATGTTGAAATTAACTTAATAAACACACATTCTTCAGAAATCATTGTAATATTGCTGATTTGCTGCTCAAGAAACATTTCTTATTATTATAAACGTTGAAACCAGCTGTGTTGCTTAAAATGTTTGTGGAAACTATGATACATTTTTCCAAATTATTTGATGAATAGAATGTTCAAAAGAACGGCATTTTTAAATAGATTAAAAATTTTAATTTTTTAATTATTTTTTATTTTTTTATAAAAGACTGTCACTATTTTCAATTCAATGCATTCTTGCGGAATAAAAGTATTAATCTTTTAATCTAAAGTATTAATTAATCTCTGACCCCAAACTTCTGAGCATTAGTGTACACATAACACTTACCTGTACATTTGCATGAAACCGATGACATCTCCATTCTTGCAGGCAAAGTATCATAAGGATTTTGAGGTGTCAGGTTTGCATGGGGTCACTCAGGGAACGCGTGGGTCGTACCTGGTACGGGCTCAGATAACGCCTAACCATGAGACGGTGGGGAACAGCACACACAAGGGTGTCCATCAGTACATCATGGAGATGGATCGAAGACCTGGCGTCATTGTGGGTAAGTTCTCTAATGTGAGATGCTCAAACCCGGTACTGCACCCTAAAAAAGGGCAAAGAACAACAAAACCAGTATATTACTTGAATCAAAATAAAATATTACTATTGGAGATAGAGATCATCTTGATCATTGTTGTTTTAGCACCTGTTCTCCCTGGTGCATACTATCCCAGTGGCCACAGCTACATGCATCAGACCAGCATGCATTCACTGAGGTCAATGCAGCCGAGGGCACAACACATGGGCATGGTGAGTCCTCATTTTTCTGCAATTTTATGTAGCATCTATACCATGCTTCATGTTTCTTTTTGAATAAAATGTATTCAGTAATGTAAAATACTTACTTTTAATGCACAAAAACTTGGTCATCAGACTGTGTACAGGGCCCTGTATGACTACACAGCGCAGGATTACGATGAGGTGTCATTCCGGGAGGGTGACATCATTCAGAAAGTGCAGCCGATCGATGAAGGCTGGATGTATGGAACGGTGCAGCGGACGGGGAGGTCTGGCATGCTGCCTGCTAACTATGTAGAGGGCATCCGCTAGTTGTTCCTACATCTCTCACTGAACCTCAAATCAAACACCAAATCTGAATGCTCATTAAATGGCCACAGGTACAACTCTATTTTAATAGTGTGAATTGTTCCACTTTGTGTTTATAATGTTACATTTCTTAATTTTGTTATTCTGAACGTCCAGTGTAAGTGAATGTACTCTACTGTTCAAAAGTTTGTTGTCTAAGATTTTTATTATTATTTATTTTTTAATGATTACTTTTATTCAGCAAGGATGAATTAATTTGATCAAAAGTGACAGTAAAGATTTACATTGCTGTAAAACATTTCTATCTTGATCTTTTAACATTTCTATTCGTCAAAAATGACTAAAAATCACACTTTCTAAAAAAAACTAACATTAGGCAGCACAACTGTTTTCAACATTGATAAAAATAAATGAAATAAATAAAATTCCCACTTTACATCACAGGAATAAATTACATTTTAAAATATTCAAATAGAAAACGGTTACTTTAAAATCTTCTTAGTTCATAATATTACAATTTTACTGTAATTTTTATCAAATAAATGCAGCCTTGTTGAGCATAAGAGACTTCTTTAAAAAACTCTTGCGTCCCAAACTTTGGAAAGGTAGTTTATGTAATGTAATAGTTTTGTACCAACTTTGAAATAAATATTAAATGTACAAGATGTATAGAAGATTGTAAAGAGGATTTTGTCACTTAAATATGAAAGAGAGCATTATTTTTAACAGCATGTTGCCTTGTAAAACATGAATATTTGTGTAAACTGTTCTGCACAATGTAAATTAAATGTTCCACTACATCAAAAACTGCATTAAAACATGATATATTTTACCCACCATCACCATTCAAGCAGTATGACGATAAAAAATTAAGTTTATTAAAAATCATTTTTAATAAACATTAGGTATTTATAATTGTTAAGGGACTGACATTTCGTCAACAACAATTCTCAGCTTCAATACTGGAACCATCAGTCATGTAACGTTTCTGCTATAATCTCAGTTCACCTTCATCTCAACCATATTCATCTTCCTTTCTTCATTTTGGAAACCTTCTCCTTACGCTTTTTCACATGCTTTGGCATTTTATTTTTTCTTTTCTCCCTCTGGCCTTCTTTAACCAATTTCTTTCTTTCCTGAAAGACATAGAAATACCAACTTATTCTCGCAACCCACGGACACAATTCATGTATGGCAACATTTTCGGTTCCTATTAGGTACCTTTCTGTCAATTTGTGCTTCCTCAGTGTGGCTGCCACCCTCCAGTGTGTCCTCCCCTTCTGACTTCTCCTCCTCATCATCTTCATCCTCCTCCTCTCCCTCAGAGCTTGAACTATCACCCTTCGTTGAGTCTTCCAGTATTGAGGGTACCTGTCAAATAATAATAATAATAAAAAAATTCAGCAACAGCATTTTTAATCTGATTTCTCATGGTCATTATGCTTGAGTTTGGCGACGACTGTTGTTTATATTCTCTGCTTTAATCCTCCACACATGCCACGCAGGCAAAGAAAATTCCAAAGAGACCTAGTGGATGCATTAAAAGCAAAAACAAAGGCTGGCCCACATAAGGTGTCTTAAACCTAATGCTTAATCATTAATGCGCCAAATGGTCTTCTTAAAAACAAAAACAGCATTCTCCTCACCATTTGCACACCAGAAAGGTCCTTCCTGAGGCCTGTCACTGTCCGGTAGAGGATCTGTAATGGAAACCAGATCATTTCAACCGAATAGCTCTCAGAGCATTAGTTCATTATTTTTACTTAGGGCAGTGAGACATACATTGTCAGTACTTGTGTCCTCAGAAGCCTCCTCCTTTTTCTTCAACATTGTGTCCACATCCCTCTCATAGTGAGTGACTTCATTAAGTGTGCGTGGAATGTAGGCTTTCTTAAACACCTTTTTTGAGACAGATCCACATGTGAATTGTTAGACAGGGTTCCCACAACAAAAAACTGTGTGTACAAATGTCTCCACAATGACTATCAATAGACAGTCTGGTATATTAAGGGTTTATATATATATACTAGGTATTACAATGTTAGCAAGTGTTTACCAGTGTTATTTGAGTATTATTTATATACTATTACAGTATATTAATACTTTGAATTAGCATTATTCGTTTAGTTTTCATTTTAGTTTTAGTAATTGTAGTGTTTTTCATTTTTATTAGTTTTTTTGCTTTTTATTTAATTTAATTTCAGTTTTAGTACTTCAACTTAAACTTTGGTTAGTTGTCAAGATAGTTGCCAACATTTCTAGTTTTTGTTTGTCTAGGTTAAATTTGTCAAGTTCGAGTTTCCATCTAATATTTATACTTTATTTCTGCCTCATTTTAATGAATGAAAATAATTTCTAATAGCTTTAGATTTAATTAACAATAACAACACTGGCTTTTACTCTACACAAGTGTTCACAGAGAGCAATATATGACTATTTCAACTATTTTAAGAGCAGGGCAAAACCAAAAAGAAAAAAAAACTCATATTTACTACAGAAAGACCTTTCAATGACATTTTACATTCAATGTCATTTCCATGACTTTTTCAGGACTGCAAATTACTATTTAAAAATTCAACAACTTTCCATGACAGTGTAAAATCTGGTAGTTTTGGAAAGGGATGCAACTATTGAGAAATGTTAAAAATGAATGCACCTCCTCATCAACTTTGTCCTGATTGGATCTTTCCTCTGCAGTTCTTTCAGATGCTATCTCCATTGCCTGCAGGTAAACCACACAAACACTAAAAAAAACAAAACACTGCAACAAATGTATGTACCCAATCACATCAAGCTTGTCAGAATGCACAAAAAGCCACAAGAAAGAGAAACAGCCTGTTGTTAAAGTGCCCCTATTATGCCATTTTTAAGGTTGCTAATATTGTTTTATGAGTCTCCTAAAACAGGTTTACATGCATGCAAGGTCAAAAAACACGTTAGTTTTCTCAAAAAATAGATTTAATTTTACTTCAGTTCTACATGATTCGTAAACGACTCGTGCGAAGCAGTTCAAAGAATCAGTCTCTCTAAACCCCTCCTTTCCGTGAGCCCTCACTGCTGTGATTGGTCAGATGGCGCAGTCCTTTGTGATTGGCCCAGAGCCGTAGAGATTGTCTCTGGATTGGTCTACCGCGTAGAGCACGTGTCAGAATTGAAACGCCCATTCCCATGACATGACAGCCCTGAGACATGTCAATATATAGAAAAGATGGTTTCAATTGTACCTTACCAATTCGAGCCGCAGTCTGATGATAAATCGGTTGAACTGGCTGATCGACAAGAGACTGATTCGCAAGCACGACTGGAGCAGGCCGTTTCTCAGTGGTAAGTGTCAAGTGTTAACAAGTTTGTGGTAATTATAAGATTATAAAATTTACTTTCACAGCGTAGGATACAGCGTCTTCTCGACATGATGTTAACCACACGGAAATTTTACTGTTTGTGGGCGGGCAAGTTGACGACATAGAACGTGGGCAGACATTATGCACATGTGTTACTTCGTGACGTAGAGCCGTAACAGAATAAGATTCGAATTC